AATTCGATAACCCTCCCCAACACTAGTAATGTTTCGTTACATATCGGTCACATATTTCAATAGGTCGGTATGAATAGCATGCTGTTCTATCGACCCAAACGTCTCAAAAACGATGAGTTTTACTTAGAATTAAGAAAACACTTTTTAATTTATAGTTACTACAGGCAATAAAACAGTAGGGCCTGTATCGCTCACCTGAATATGTTAAAAATAATTGGTATGAAGTAAAAATATAGCACTCCATGGTAGGTGCTGTAAGTACATATGAAATTTCAGAAAATATGGACAAAATCTTTTCATTCCTACAGAAGAAGAAGGATTTTAAAGAATAATTTGCTATGTTTCCCCTATTGGGCCCCGCCCCTCAGGCCCCTGGTTTATACAATTGGTACCCCTTCACCCAGGGATGTTTCAGACTAAATATGAAATAAATCCTGTCATTCCTACAGAAGAAGACGGATTTTTAAGAATTTGCTATATTTCCCATATTGAGCCCCGCCCCTCAGCCCCCAAGGGGGCCAGACCCACCGTTTATACAAAATTGGTTTCTCTTAGACCAAGGATGCTCAACACCAAATATGGACCAAATCCTGTCATTCCTACAGAAGTAGAAGGATTTTAAAGAATAATTTGCTATGTTCCCCTATTGGGCCCAGCCCCTCAGGCCCTTGGGGGGCCAAACCCACGGTTTATACAAAATTGAGTCCACTTGGCCCAAGGATACTCCAGACTAAATTAGGATAAAATACCTTAATCCCTACGGTAGGAGAAGGATTTTGAAGGTTTTACCTATTTCCCCTATTCGACCCCGCCCATCTGCCCCATGGGGCGCCACACCCACCATTTATACAAAATTGAGTTCCCTGGCCCGAGATGCTCCAGACTAAATTAGGATAAAATCCCTTAATCCCTAGGGTAGAAGAAGGATTTTGAAGGGTTAACCTCTATTTCCCCTATTGGGCCCCGGCCCTTTTGCCCCCAGGAGGGCCACACCCACCATATATACAAAATTGAGTCCCCTTGGCCTAAGAATGCTCCAGACCAAATTTAGTCAAAGTCTACTCGGCTGTTCAGGACTAGTAGCGTTTTAAAGGAAAAGTTGATGGACGGGCGGACGACGGACGACGGACGCTGCGGTATGGCATAAGCTCACCATGGTCCTTCGGACCAGGTGAGCTAAAAAAAATCATTGCCACTTTATATGCCATTTTATCATTTAATAGGAATTGTTAATAACAAGTTTATAATACACAAACGTGGAGGGAGCTACCTCCCCATAACGTTATATATCTATATTAAAGTCTGAAGTGACAACAGGATCACAAGTCGTTTTCATATACCCAGGGTCGGTTCTTCTCCGAGGAAATTTGACAATTATTGAAAACAACTTAAATACAAAATATTTCATTAGAATTGCTTCTGTTAAACGACTGAGATAAGGTGAAGGAGGCGACCAGTAGCGTAGGTATAACCCGGTGTCTAATCTCATTGTCCTGTATGTACACTGTACATTTATTGGTCTTGTCAATTGCAGAAACCAAACTTGACCTGCTGCTTCCATGGAATCTCTACATTGTATGTCTTTTCTGTGGTGTCAGAAGTTGTCAAAGTAATTTGACCAAGTGAAGTTTAGGACGTTTTCAGCGAGATGGCACTTCATTAGCCCTATCATCTGTGAACAGTGTTAGCTGTTTCGTGGAGGTAAAACCCTGAACAAGCCAACAAAACCCCCAACGGATAACAGAGTGACTTAAGGAAGCCCAGGATTTTTATTGATAGAAGTGCTTTGACAATGATATCTTAATTGTTAACGGAGAGTACAGTATGCGAAGGTTAAAACAGGTTAACACTGATATTGACGATGGAAGGGCCATCGAAGTGGATGGCAGTGTTTACAACAGATTGATATGGTGTCTTAACAACCACTCGGTCAGATAGGGGTTATCAATATCAGATGTTGCTGTGCATCAGGCATATTGATCTGATAAAAAGAGTTTGGTACTGATTTTGATAATTATGTATATTTCAACCTGTTGGTCTGCGATCTGACCTTTGAATTTGGCAAAGTATCAAGTTGGGATTGCATAACTGGAACCCAAGGGTAGCCTGTGTACAAAATTTGAGAAAGGCTGGTGGCAATATTGTTTTTCCTATTCACAAACAAATGTGATGTTGCTTAACTATAGGACCCAGGGAAGAATGTGTACTGCATTTAAAAAAAAGACACGTGTCCAATACTTTCAGAGAAATAGCAGCAACAAACTTTGACACTGAAATCAATGATTGGAGCCTTGCAGCAACATTTCCCTTCATACCTGCAAGTTAAGGTACTGTTAAACTACTGGGACCCATGGGACCCTATGTACAAAATCTGAGAAAGATCCTGGCCTGTACTTCTTTGACCATGACATCAAAGATGGCAGCCCGGTGTTTATATTGTTCTACATATCAACAAACGTGATGTTGCATTACTACGATAAAAGGAAAACGTATACAAAAAAATAGGCCCAATGGAAAACTTCAAAATCTGAGAAATGTCGGTGTTTATAAAACCGAGAAGTATCTGTACAACACTTTTTGAGGAATATTGTTGGTAAGACCATGGTCAAGTTTCTGAATTAAAGATCACTGCGACCCTTTTTCCAAAATTTGACCTATGTTATCTAAATAATCTAATTATATCAAACCTTAATATATCTTAGTGAATAATGCATATATTTCCATATGGTTCACTTTTCCATGGGCTTCATTTTCATTGAGTAAATAAAAAAGATTTTTAATTAGCTCCCTAGTTCCATTTATAACACAAAAAACTGGCTCAAGTTTCACTTTCAACTTTGGTCAATTTAAACCTTGCACCCGTGACCAGGTCGCTCAATTGGCTAAAGTGTCTGTCTAGAGTAGACTTTGTAGGTCCTGGGTTCGAATTCCAGTCTGGCCTTTGAATTTTTACCTTTCCTAACGTTAACTTACCTTTTAGTAAGAATACCTGAAGATCAGTACTTTTCCTTTATCGTCTCCAATCCAAACCTCATTTCCCTGTATAGTCATGGCCCATGGTGTAGTGTTCATGGTGAGCAGGACTTTCAATGGCTCGCACGATTGACTCAGTAACTGCATATTTTCTCTCGTATCAATAACCGCACAATAGAGACTATACCCTGCCAGGAAATTCCCAATCAATATCCTGGGTCCTGTACAGATTAAAACAGGAGATAGGTCTTCGTCAAGAACAACTAGTTCTCTGCGTCTGTCACTTTTAAGGTTAATGACCGCTACTCGGGTGCCCGTGTTGTTCACACAGACGTCATCTGGTACAACAACCTGGCTTCCTCCATATCCATCAGCCTGACAACGAGCCGCCTCTTCCCCCACCGGTCGTATCGGACCAACACACGGGTACTGTCATCTGTTACTTCATAGTCATTTTCGTCGCATAGTGTTACATATATGTCCCCAGATGGATCTGTACATATACGGTTTGGTGTGAGAGGACAGGTGATGAACTTTTCTGTAATCTCACCATTTGGTAGAGCGATCTCCTTGATACATTTCTGTAGTGTACAACAGAACAGAAGCTTATTATCTGCACGTACAGTAAATCCATCCGACCTAGTTCCCAGGTTAATAACTTGTTTAATTTCTCCAGACCTCTTGGACAGTTTAACACAGCTTTTATCCTGGCATTTTAGCCAGCAAACTTTAGATTTAGGACAAAACATATTATCTACATCAACATGTTTTTGAAAGTTTAAATGATGTAACTGGCCTAACTTTGATTTTTGATTTCCTTTCGATCAAACCAAAAAAGTCGGATGACTTGTCCCTTTTATTCTCATTGTTATTGGCATGATCAGATGCCCCTTAAATACTCCCAAACATTCGTTCAAGTTCTCCGTCCCTGACAGCCCCGGGGAGGAACACCAGGGCGTGTATGTCTAGCCTGGGGATGCGTCTGCTGCTTTGTGGGACCTCCACATTTCTGCCTGTTACGATTATGTCTACATAATCGTTCATGTTTTTAAGCTGAACCACCTTCCTCTGGAATGTGGCAATCTGGGAAAACTGTTGCTTCAGAGCTTGTTCTGTTTTGTCTATGGCTTCCATGTTCTTACCAAGCTCCATTTTATGTTTTTAATGCACTTCATTTTTCATTCGTCGTGTCTCACTCTGTCACTGTGGTGTTATCACCCTGTCACCGTAGTGTTTTCACTCTGTCACCATCATGTTCTCACCCTGGCATTGTCGTGTTATTACCTGTCACTGTCGTGTTCTCACTCTGTCACTGTGTTGGTCTCACACTGATATCGTCGTGTTCTCACCCTGTCACTGTCGTGTTCTCACCCTGTCACTGTCTTGTTCTCACTCTGTCACTGTCGTGTTCACTCTTTTGTTGTCGTGTTATTACCCTGTCATCGTCGTGTTCTCACCCTGTCACTGTGGTGTTCCCACCCTGTCACCTTGCTGTTCTTACTCTGTCACTATGGTGTTCTCACCCTGTCACTGTCATGTTCTCACCCTTCCACTTTGCTGTTCTCACTCTGTCACTGTTGTGTTCTCACCCTGTCAGTGTGGTGTTCTCACCATGTCACGTGATGTTTTCATTCTGTCACGTGATGTTTTCTCACCCTCACACTGTGTTGTTATCACCCTGTCACCGCCGTGTTCTCACCTTGTCACTATGGTGTTCTCACCCTGTCACCGTAGTGTTCTCACCTTGTCACCGTTGTGTTCTGACTATGTCCCTGCTGTTTTCGCTTTGACGCTGTGGTTTTTTCGCCTGTAGATTGTATCATCTTTTGTCACACGTTGTGTTGGTTTGAGTGATCAATGGGAAGATTATTGATTTTTGGCCCTTAATGTACACTTAATTATCACGATAAACGCCCACAACGCGTATTACTTAAAGGGGAAACACTGAAATGTTCAAATGGAAAGAAAAGAAAAAAACCGTTTAGATTTTAAAAGCATTTTATTTGGAATATACATTATAAAATGGATAGAACCTACATTTTATACCCTAATAATACCCTAATACTTTTTACCAGTGACTACACAATAGCTGAAGCAGTTCATCTTATCACTGATGAGGAAGGAAGGTAAGTTAATTCACATTCGAGATTAAAATAAAAATCAAATTTGAGTAACCTTACTATGAATAATTCATTAATCCCAAAGTCTTGACTGGTTGTTTAAAAAAACAAATTTGCAGGCTATGTAGACATTGATACTGTCTGTTCATTATATTATCTTTCTTTGTGGCCAAATGTTGATCAAATTGACAATATTTATTGCAAAAGTCAGATGTAAGGCTATTGTTTGCAATGAGCCTATTTAATGAAACCAGTTAAACTTTCATTCAAAGTACGATATCACACTACATTGCCTCGTTATACAATTCCATATAGATATTTACATAGAAAACATATTCCCATCTCTCAATTGTGTTAAAAACATACATTAAGCCTAATTCAATGTTTCCAGATTATGTCATTGTGCAGGATTTTCTTATCTGATATTTTAGAATCGTTAATGAATTCTGGTAAAATTCGATCGATAAATCAACTATTAAATGGCTAGCCATCGTTATTCAGGGCCATGTGAACTTCTGCGGGCTCTCATTCAGAACTTAAAAAGTTCGTCAGTTCCATATCAGTGCTTAATTATGTACTAAAAAAATCAGCAAAAATATTCTAAATCTCCCACATTTCACACACTGTATATGTTGACATTCTCAAAACAGTCTTAATTTTGCGGTCATCCTCGACTGCATATTATATTCAATAACCCTCCCCAACACTCCCCATATACATGTTGCTGGCCCGGAGGATAGCGTGCTGAGGGTCGTGGTGAGGAAGAAGCCGGAAACCCCACGTGATCGGGCAGGTTACCCTTTTACTTTTCACGTCGGTGAGCGAATCGAACACTGGCCATCTCGATAAACCAAGTGATCTGTCCACTGGATATATGATCTCATGTTGTCTTCTTCTGCATACCATTTCTCACGCACTCAATAATCTGGATACCTTCCGCGGGCACCCAATTACTATATGTTTTGTATCTGGCCTCTCTTTTCCAATTCACCAAATATCTCTCATCTCCTTTCCATACACCTAATCACCTGTATGACCATATTTCAATATTGTATTTGGTATCGCTTTTTCCGATACTGTCGTCAGTCCATAATAATCAATATTGGGACGGAGATTCCCACGGAAGTCATCGAGGAATTATCTACAAAGAAACGTGAATTTTCATTTGCATAGTTGGTAATGGCAAGATGTAAATATCTTATTATGACTTCTAATTGGTTTTGGATATGTCTTAATTACGTACATTTTGTTGACTTAATGTTAACTACTTTTATCAGATTAGCCTATGATGTTGATCAGTGACATAAATCAGTTTCTCACTGACGATAATATATTGATGACGTAAATGTGCAGTTTTGTACATTTCTCGAAAAACTGTTGCTGTAGTTAATAATTATGTTAAAATATGGTAGCCAATATTGGTTTACGTTGTTGGAAAATATTGATAGTGGAGCTGTTTTATGTAATCAATAGCGCAAATCTTAACCTGACCAATCACTTAATCATCAATGGGATCACATTCATATAGCTTAAAATCAACTTTTTCTCATATGGTGTATTCTTTTCCTGATATCTTCGATTGTGACATTGACTGAGTGGTGAACCATATCAAAGATATAATTACATCAATTATGACTAAACAATTTGGTAACATATGTTCGATCATACTGTAGCGTTAACATACCTTAGTAAGAATACCTTAAGATCTGTACTTTTCCCTAGCCATCTCCGACCCAAACCTCATCCCCGTGCAAGGACAAGGACCATGGTGAAGTTTCCATGGTCAGCAGAACCTGAAGTGGCTCACAGGTTGGACTCAGTAACTTCACAGTTTTGCTGTAACATTCAGCTATCCAAATATTGTCTCTTGTATCAAATACAACACAAGAGAGAACATACCCTGCTAGGGCGTCCCCGGTCAACACGCTGGGTCCTGTATAAATCAATATAGGAGATAGGTACTTGTCAAGTACAACTAGTTCACTGCGTCTTTCATTTACGTGGTTAATAACCGCTATTTGGGTGCCACTTCTGTTCACACAGACTTTACATGGTACAACAAAGATGTTTCTACCATTACCATCAACCTGACACTGGGTTTTGTTGCGCCCCTGACTGTCGTACCGGACCAACACACGGGTACTGTCGTCTGTTACGTCATAATCATGCTCGTCGTACATTGTCACATATATGTCCCCAGACGGACCTGTACATATATAGCTAGGTGTCAGTGGACTAGTGCTGAACGTCTCTGTAATATCGCCATTAGGCAGCTCCATCTCCTTGATACACTGCTGACTTGTACAACAGAATAGTAGCCTGTTATCTGAAGTGACAGTAAATCCTTCAGTCTTAGTTCCTAGATTGATAGCTGCTTTAATATTTCCGGATCTGTTGCAAAGTTTGACACTGTTTTTACCCTCAAATTTAAACAAGCCAGTTCCTGATCCAGGACAAAACATAGCATGTATACCATCATGTTTAGAGTGATTAAAAGAGGCAATTGGTGTTAGTTTGATGCATGCTTCTCTTTTAATCGAGCCAACAAAGTCAGACATGTTGGTTTTATCGTCATTCCCCTCTGCCCTGTCATCACATGTGACCGTAGTAGCGTCATTGTTACCGTTATCAAATGCCCCTTTAATACCTCCAAACAATCGTTTCAGTTCTCCCTCCCTGATACCCCCGGGAATGAATATTAGGACTTGTATGTCCGGTCTGGGGACGCGGTTGGTATCCGGCACCTCCACATCCCTTCCCAACTTAATAACGTCTACGTAGTCGGTCATCTTTTGTAGCTAAGCTACCTTCATCTTGAACGTGTCTATTTGGGACACCTGTTGTTTCAGAGTTTCCTTCGTTCTGTCAATGGACTCCGCGTTCTTACCGAGTTCCGTTATGTGTTTCTGTATTACTTCCGTGTTGACTTCGTCGATTTTACTTCTGATAATATCAGCACGTTTCGCTATCTCATCATCTATGTTAGAAGCATCCTGTTTCAGATCCTCTCTGATTTCGGTTAGACCATCTAGATCCGATTTGATTTCTTTAAACACCTGACCATTCTCGGTTTCTACCTGTTCCAGATTCTGTCGGATAGACTGAGCGGCGTTCCTCAATGTCTGTAGTTTGTGCTCTGCATGCTCCTCTTCAAGGCAAACTCCACAGACAAAGGGGATCCTGTCACATGATTTACACACCACGAACACTTTCTCACCTGTATGTGTGGCACACTCCATTGTCTCACGATGATGCTCTCAGATAAAAATGATATTTTTGTCGAGATCTTCTCCTATCGGTATACTTTTGTTACACGTCGTCAGTCACGTTATTGATAATATATAGCTGATAAAATATAAGTGTCATAATCTAGCACACTTTGTGCGTAACACACTGTGTTTTACCTGATATGAAGTGAGTGGTTATAATCGTATCAAATACACTACAGCGATACTTGTCTTTGTAGCTTGTATTTCACAAACTCTTTATATACGAAATACATGTTTCACTGTTATCCTTGGGAGTTTGGAATAGTATGGAAGTTAGAAAATATGACCGATTGTATGTTATTTTTGTGCGTGTTTAAGCTAAGGCTATAAGTTGGCGCTTGACCGACCTTGCTGTCTCTAGGCAATCTTTAAACGTAATACACCCCAGCCCACCCCCATCACAAACTGACGTTATTGTAAGTTAAGCCTCAGGTTGCAGCTGTGCCTCGGGACTTCCATGTTTCTGCTAGTTACGATCACGTCAACGTAATTGTTCATATCTTTAAGCTGAGCCACCTGTCTCTGGATTCTGGCAATTTGGGATAACTGTTAATTAGAGCTTGCTTTGGTTTTTATGCGGCATCCATGTTCTTTCCAAGCCCCATTCTAGGTATATGATGTACTCCCTTCTTTACGTTGTAGACTCACTTTCATGTTCAACATTTTTTATTTTACGAAATTTGATCCGAGTTACAGTTTCTCTCTAATTTTTGGTGAGACCGTCAAGGTCGGACTTTCGCCTCAATTTACCAGATCTCTCTCGTTTACTGAAATTTTCCATGGATGATCTAATATCATCGTAACAACAGTAACGATATTCGTCACATTAAATGATATGATAAACTTAAATAGGCAGAAACAACATTTATTGTAAAGTTTACCAACAGAACTCGTGGTTAAATCTGTGATAAAACATGTACTAAGGCTTGGACTTTGTGTTAATTTGATAGGACATTTATATAATAATAATAATAATAATAATAATATACAACATTTATATAGCGCCCTATATAATTTGTAAAATTACTCTACTCTATTTATAGTCTAAATATCCATGAATTTAAGCAATAATGTAATGCAACAGCACTATTGATAGAAAAGAACACATGTTTGGATCAAAGTTGTGTTTATTGTGTAACAATTTTCGTGTAGCTTTGTGCTGTATACTCATGATAATAAAATAGCATTGTGATAAATGAAAACGATCCATTCAAGCGTTATATAGGAATTTATGCTCGATAATCGATTTCCGCGTGTGTATTAATGGTAAAGTCACACTATTTTAGGCTTGGCATATCACAACTAGTTTCACTTTCGTTCTTATAGCAGTTTGCTGGTTTACAGTGTGCATGTATCTTGAAGGTATAAATATCTTTCGACCTATTTCCACTATTTGATAGGTTCAGTTAAAATGTTAAATACGAACTAAGCTATTCAGACATCTAAAAACAATATAACTAATAGGCACGTTACATAGAAATGAAAAACTAAGGTAGACAATACATGTTTCATGTAGCACAAGCGCATATACTTCTATATAGGTAAATATGACAGATAAAGCTACCCTTGATATGGGTACAGCTGTATAGTATAGATATATTATATACAACAGTACACATGTACAAAGAAATGGCATGTGAATTGGGAGGAGATCATGCCTGATTGCTCTCTCATTTTGTAGATATTCATGTTGTGACTTCGCGTCCTTAACGTTGTATTATCTCTCTGTCACACATTGTGTTGTTTAGAGTGATCAACGGGTACACAACGTGAATAGTTTGAAGTGAAAATGCTGAAATTTTCGCAAACCAAAAATCCACGTTTAGGGGTTGAACATAGTTTAATTGCAATATCTTAAAGACGTATTGTACCTTAATTTTACTAACATGTTGTGCCCTTTCCTTGTAAAATTCCAGTTTATACAACAGTATCTATGATATAGCTTACGCACAGGGAAGAGGAAAGACAGGAAAACGGGTTAACTAGCACATTTGATTAAGACAGAAAAAGATATTTGAGTAACTGATCTGATGCATTATTTATAATTACGATAATTAATTACTTGAGGCTATGAGGAACATTTCTTGACTTCTTCGCATTATTGTTTTCCTATTTCCCACTGGCAATTGAACTTGTTTCTTTTCAAATTGTTAATGTGCAGAGAGTATCGTTCAATTAAAGTTTAATCTTCAATGAAATGGACCGAAAATAAACCTTCAAAGACATGTTATGTACTCACGAATGAATTGTGGTAAATATCCCAGGAAAGATCAAATGGCCAAAGGCTTAACAACGTTACTGGTTGTCCTGGGTATTAATTACCATCGAACTCCCCTTCAAAACCCCAAATACATCAATCTCATAGAAGTACATTGATATCAAATATTAGTAACCATAATCTTAATATGTACAATAATTAGACACCATAGATCTAGCCACACTTCATCACACATTAAATCGGACTACTCACCAATATTACCCTTATATCTGCACATTCCATCTGAATCTGTCTTCGGCCTCTGACATATACAATATCTGGTTGCAGTTTTTCTTATAATACATATACAAATGTTATTATGCAACAATCGTTATCAACCTAAATTTATCACACTTATTTGCCTAAATGTTAGTGCGCAGGTGGTCTGAATGTATGCTGAAACCGGAATATCTGGAAAAAACCCACGTGGTGGGGTAGATGACATTTTTTCACGTCAGGCAGTCGAACCCCAGCTATCTTGGTGAAAGCCTTGTGCTCTATACACTGTATTCCTTGTCTACATAGCTCCGCACATAACAAAATACCTGGACATCATGTAAAGCGCCCGTGCCGGCAATTTTGGATAGCTCCGCACACACCCAATTATCTGTCTGCTCTTTCCCTTTTTATTTAATCTGCCTTCCATACAACAAAACATGTCCGATGACCAGCATCAACCCGTTACCACCAAAGCTGGGACAGAGATTCCCAAGGAGTTCATCGAGTAAATTATCTACAAAGAAACATGAGTTTTCAATTTGAAACTGTTGCTGTAGTTAATATGTTAAAATATAGTGACAAATATTGGTTTAGTTTGTTGGAAAATATTGACAGTGGGGCTGTTTTATATAGTCAATAGCGCAAATCTTAACCTGACCAATGACGTCATCATCAATGGGATACCATTAATATAGCTTAAAATCATGAAAAAATTTGGACAACTAGAAATACATATTTGATTTATGTTTTCATTTTCAAATATCCCGTTCATCTGTTTGGTAACTCCAAATAAACTAGTTCTTATCTGGACTTTTCTCCTAATACGTTAATTATGAGATTGACTCGGATGCAAGCTACATGTATATATATCAAAGATATTATTACATTAGAAATTATGACTTCATCTCATATTATCTTTTTGGTCAAGCTGTAGCGTTAACATACCTTAGTAAGAATACCTGAAGACATCTACTTCTCCTTCATCATACCCTACCCAAACCTCATTCCCATGCAAGGACAAGGTCCATGGTGAGGCTTCCATGGCCCTCAGGACCTTAAGGGGCTCACAAGATGGACTCAACAACTGGATAGTTTGACTATTCTCTTCAGCAACCAAAATATTGTCTCTTGTATCAAACGTAGCACCATTAATCTTAAACCCTGACAGTGATCTGCCTGTCAACACGCTGGGTCCTGTATAGACAAAGAGAGGAGATAGGTCCTGGTCAAGAACAACTAACTCGCTGCGATTGACACGAATCTCGTTAATTACTGCCACTCGGGTGCCCTTATTGTTCACAAAGACGTCCATTGGTACAACAAAGAGACATTCGCCAAAGACATCTGTCTGACACCGAGCCTTTTCTAGTCCCCTACTGTTGTATTGGATCAACACACGGGTACTGTCTTTTTTTAATTTGTAATCATTCTTGTCAAACAGCGTCACGTATATGTCCCCAGACGGACCTGTACATATGTAGTTGGGTGTCAGTGGACTAGTGCTGAACTTCTCTGTGATCTCTCCGTTTGGAAGGTTCATTTTCTTGACACATTGCGGAGTTGCACAACAGAACAGTAACCTGTTATTTGAAGTGACAGTAAATCCATTTGTCTGCGTTTCTAGCTTGACAGCTTGCAAAGTTTCTCCAGAGGTGTTTAAAAGTTTAACGGTGTTTTTATCCTTACATTTTAACCAGCAATGTCCTGGCTTAGAACAAAACATAGTATCTATGCCATCATCTTTAGGAAGTTTGAAGGATGTTACTGGTGTTACTTTGATATTTGATTCTCTTTCGATCGAACCAACGAAGTCAGACGACATGGTGTTAATACCTCCAAACATTCGTTTAAGTTCTCCGTCCCTGACAGTCCCGGGGCTAAATGTTAGGGCTTGTATGTCCGGCCTAGGGATGCGGTTGGTATCCGGCACCTTAACCTCCCTTCCCGACTCAATCACGTCCACGTAGTCGTTCATCTTCTGTAGCTGAGCTACCTTCTTTTTGAACGTTTTTATTTGGGCCACCTGTTTTTTCAGAGCTTCCTCCGTTCTGTCAATGGACTCCGCGTTCTTACCGACTTCCGTTTTGTGTTTCTGTATTACTTCCGTGTTGACTTCGTCGATTTTGCTTCTGATAACATCAACACGTTTCGCGATCTCATCATCTACGTTATTAGCATCCTGTTTCAGATCCTCTCTGATTTCGGTGAGACCCTCTAGATCCGACTTGATCTCTTTAAACACCCGCACATTCTCGGTTTCTACCTTTTCCAGATTCTGAAGGATAGAATGAGCGGCGTTCCTCAATGTCTGAACTTCGTGCTTTACATGCTTCTCTTCAAGACAATTTCCACAGGCAAAGGGGAACTTGTCACATGATATACACACCATGAAAACTTTCTCACCTGTATGTGTGTCACACTCCATGGTATTAAAGCTGGTTTATTACGTTTATCGTTTACAGTATTCCATGTATACGCGTCAGGCTGTATTGAATTACGTCGCTAACCACGCTATTGATAGGTTGCTATAAATAGGGGGTGTTCGTGACGGAAACTCGAGGGTTGAATCCAGACATGCGCAGATATAATAATAGTCAAGCGTGTCAAAAACGCAGAGATCACAACAGTCGGGTTCTCAACATGGAGGAAAACACAGCAGTCATTCCGACAATAGTGTGTTGTGAACTGATTATCAACGATTCCGACGACGAGGAGGAATATCTTACACACTGTTTAGCGTACCATAAATTCCCAAATGCTGTTCCGAAGGTAACTGGGTTCGTTGAACTCGTGATGGACAGATTTGATGACAGAGAGTTCAAAAGAGATTTCAGGATAACTCGTAATACGTTTGACATTCTTCTAAACGAAGTTGTTCCTCACATTGAGAGCACTGACCGCCCTTGTGGAAGGGATCCCTTGAAACCTAACCACAAATTGCTGATATTTTTGTGGTACATGGCAAACCAAGATTGTATGAGGGAAATATCACGCCTATTTAATGTATCAAAATCATCTGTTTTTAGTTGTGTGAGAGAAGTTTCATTCGCGTTATGTAACGAAATGCAGAAATACATTCATTGGCCTGATCAGACTGAACAGGATGAAGCAGCAGAAGAAATTAAAAACAGTACAGGAATACCAGGAGTCGTTGGTTTTATCGATGGGACCCACATCCGACTGTCAAGTGTTCCCAATGGGGACTCTGGTTACATAGACAGAAAAGGGTTTCCTTCTCTCCAGCTACAGGTTGTTGTGTCACATAATATGCTGATCATTGACGCATACGTAGGGTGGCCTGGTAGTGTCCACGATGCCAGAGTTTACAAGAACAGTCCTCTTTTTGATGGTCTCCAAACTGGAATGATAGCCCCTGGACATTTTTTAATAGGTACTGTAATGTATTTACACATATTTTTGAGAAAAAGTCTATATGACAATGTTTGAAGTATAAGTAATTTCCTTTTCCTTGCCTTTCAGGAGATGGTGCATATCCCTTATCAGAAGTCATGATAACGCCATTTAGACAAACTGGAAATCTGAGTGCACAACAGAAGCATTTCAACAAGAAGGTGTCATCAGTACGTCAAACAGTAGAACGTTCAATAGGACATATGAAACAACGATTCAGACGCCTAAGAGATCTTAGCTGCCGTGACATGAAAAGTGCCTGTGAAATCATTATGTCCGGTTGTATCCTGCATAATATGTGTATATTACATGAAGATGATCTGTCCGAGTACTTGGACAATTATGACGGAAATCAAGTAGTCAATAACTATCCTCCTGTGTATTTGGATAATGCTCGTGGTGTGCGGAAAAGAAATGAGATTGTACAGCTTCTCAATGCCAACAGATAACTGTGTTCGAAAACCATGCCATGGTTGCATAGACTAGCCACTGCTTTTGAAAACAAGACAATGTGATAAAGTGTAAAATGAATCAAACTTGTTTTATTAAATGGAAAACAAAATAAAAACGTTTGAGTATCTCTCAGGTAACACAGATTTAAATAACTTTTCAATTACATATAAAATAAAAGTCACCAACTGATGATGGAATAAAACCTATTAAACATGATAATACAAACAATAATATTTAGAAAATGTGTGAACAAATAATTATGGGGCACTGTTTTCGTATTTGTCTACAAAGTGTGATTCCATTATTGATATCATTAATATAAATTTATGACATCACTAAATGCCCAGAATTATTGAGATATTATTAATTGAAATTATTGATATCACTTAGTCAAACTAGTGATAGCAACAATTCAGGGCATTTAGTGATATCAATAATATGATATGTGATATTATTAAATGAATTAGTGATCACTAATTCTATCAAGTTAAATCACCAATTTGAATTAGTGATATAATTATTTAATGATATCAATAAATATACATTGATATCATTAATTTGAATTAGTGATGTCACATTTCGTAGATAAATACTAAAACGGTGCCCCATCTGACCTGACTGCTAGTGTAAACTTATTACAACATATTATGGACATATGGAAAACAAAATGACAGCATGTACATGAATTCTTTCATGATTAAGAAAACTGAACAATTACATTTCTTTAATGTAGTTTTTGAGAAGTTGAAACTGATTGTGTTCCTTTCAATAACGACCACTTGGATTTGGGAAACTGTACGCGTATCGTACACATTTCAACATTTGAAGTGGCACTTTGTCTATAATACTGTGACCAAATGTCACCCTTCCCACATTACTGTTCAACAGTTGTGCCAAATTTTCAACGTCCCTTTGACACTTTGTAGTTACTTTTCCACTAACATACCGTAGCCCTTTCTTCCTCTGCATCAACTCTACCAAAAACTCCACAGAGAGTTCTGACCTACTTTCATGTGTAACTAAGGAATGCAAATTTGGCAAAGCAATGATGACATTGTAGAGAGACTGCAAAGAATACCCTACATCTATCAGTTCCAAAATTTCTAACTGAAATAGGGCCCCTGAGTACAGAGCAGAAAGCAGACTGAGCATGGTTGTATTAGCTTTAGCTCTGATCACAAGTTTTGTCAATGAACATATAATGTTCAGGAAGTGGAAGTCTGGAACACTTCTAGGTGTCTGTTTACAAGACACATTTATATTGGTGAAGGTTCCCAGGATATTTCTTCTCATTCCTCTACTTGTTGAAGCTAAACACAGCTGATCAGTAATGTTAAGATGCCTAAGAACTTCCATGAGGATTGTCTGTGGCAGGCTGATGATTCTGAAAAAAAAAATCATTAAACATTCATGTTTAAATGTCTAAAAAATGAAAACATGTTTATAATAAAATTTGGCAAACGTAAAATGTATTCTAAGAAATCTATTTGAATGCATCTTGAGCAACTTTAAATTATTGTTGGTATCTCCTTGTGGACACAAACCGTGATAACAAAACCTGTGTTTAAACAGAAGTTATTTTACTGAACTTTGTACAACTGTCACCATTTAAAGACAAACAGCATTGCAAACAAAAAGGCCAAGTAGTCAAAATCTACTTCGCCATTCCGGCCTATTAGTTCTTTTAGTTGACGGACGACAGGCAGACGCCATGGTACAGAATAAGCTCATATCATATTATAGCAACATTTAATGTTTTTCTTGGAGGAGGGAGTTAAAGACGAACACCACTATATAATATGCTTCATTCACTAGTACTACTCTATACATCTAATGAGACCAAAAATAATCCCCACCTTGGAAAACCCTTTTTCAAGAACTGATATCAGCCTGTCCATAGCTGCCATCTTGTCTTTGTGTCTTTCTACTTGCCTGGTGTCTAAATTTTCAAGCCATTCAGGTCTCTCTTTCCTTTTCCTGTCTCGTCTCGTCTTGCTTGGAGTCTGACTAGTCTGGTTAGTCTCGGTACTATTGCCCTCCATAGTCATGCCTCTGCTGGAGCTAATCGCCACTGATGGTCTTGTGGAGGCGTTCATGCCATACAACTCCTGAAACTCGGAAAAAAAAGGACAAGACTTTTTGTCGTTTCCAGATTTTGAATTGTGATCCACAGTGTTCCTGTATTCTCGTTTCAAACTCTTAAACTTGTTCTCACATTGTGTAGGCGTATATTTGTACCCCTTCTTATTCATGCTTTCACTTATTTTTTTCTTTGTGTGTTCTCATGGAATGAAAGTCGGATTCCATAGTTGATCGCAAGTCAAACAGTAGAGCTGTTTCTCGTCTTCCCCAAAATTTTGGAAGATTTTCTTCAGTGGAGGATGACGCCAATGCACCACCTGTGACGGATGGAGGGTCGTTGTTGGAGGATGACGCCAATGCACCACCTGTGACGGATGGAGGGTCGTTGTTGGAGGATGACGCCAATGCACCACCTGTGACGGATGGAGGGTAGTTGTTGGAGGACGACGCCAATGCACCACCTGTGGCTGAAGAGTTTTTTTTCAATTTTGATGATTCTATATTAGCCCTGATTGTTTCAAGAAGTTGAGTATCTACAAAATAAGCAAAAGAGAAAATGAGATGTTTCAAACATGTTTTTAAAGGGAAGAGTATAGAATAGACAACTAGCAAAACCCATAGATAAATAATTTCCAAGATTCAGATTTCTAAATTGATCTGATTTGCTTTATATATTTAGCACATTTTGTAACTACATTTAGTGCATGTAAATTGTTACAGATATGCATGTGTATAATCTAAATTAATGCACAAAAAAACGTACTTAATATATTCATCATCTCGGTCTTTCATCTTGGATGTCAATAAGGATGTTTAGATTAAACTCATGTAATTCTTGTACTTTCTCCTTCTTAAAATTAATCTCGACATGGTTTAATACTAGAAATGATACCAAATTAAAGTTATTTTGGACTTCCCACCTCCATTCTCTAAACGTTGAATCGTTGGCATGTCCAGTTTGACTAGGTAGGTGGTCCCATCACTATATGTTAGACGAGTTTGTTGCCAATATCCTGGACTTGAACTGCAAAACATCAACCTCGATTGATTTATTTTTTTCTGGTTGCGATATTATTCACATTCACAATGAAACACGTATGTATGTACATTATCAGCATTATCATTATGACCTTACCTTAGTACAAGATCATCAAAGTAGCATACTTCATCAGAACCAGTCCCCGAGCACCATAGGCATCAACACTGCCAAGTTATCATCAGATAATACGTTCTGTATCATTTAAAGTTATTTTTTATAAAATTATTTGATGTTGACTTATTTTTTAAGACGATATTCGAGATTAAATAAAACACATTAACCTCACCTGCTTTCGTCCGCCATGTTTGTGACGTCATAACTCTCGTCGACCCTGTAAAATCGGGGAGTATACTCTTGACCCAGTTTCGGAACTCGCGTGTTCCGCCTTTTGAGTGTTGCCAAAAAGTTCTAAAATGGAGGTTAGGTTCCCATATCCTCCATTTTAGAACTTTTTGGCAACACTCAAAAGGCGGAATTGCAACCATACCCCCCCCCCCCCTTTTTTTTTTTTTGTCCTAGGCTCGGTTATAACCGGAACAAGGACGTAAAGCCCCATCAATCAATCAATCAAATCAAGAACTCGCGTGTTATACTCCCGTCGTTCTTGAATGAAACACGGGTGTCGAGTTGTAACTCGGGTTCTAAACGAACACCCCCATAGATGTCTTCAGCTCAAAATCATGTTTTGGTATACTTTTGTTACGTCATCAGTCAATTTATTGATAATAAATAACTGATAAAAAGTCATATATACTAGCACAGTGGTTATAATTTTATGAGCACACTTCAAGTATGTGTAGCCTATATTGCACAGTTTATATACGACTTACATGCATCACTGTTCTCACCTGTATGTGTGGCAGAGTCCATGGTATCGACAGGGGCCGGATGGGAGAAAATGTGTAAAGACCTTATTTGTAATAACAACTTTAAGACACGAATTTTGATTGGCCGACCAATCATCACCGGTTGTTGGTGAGACTGCGAGGGAATAACAAGATGGCGACAGAGACGATATCTATACAGAGTCAGAATGGAACTTGCTCGATTGAAGACGAATGGTTTGTATTTAACGTTCATGTTGGTGTATGAATAAATTAAAATATTTAACACTAAGCTATTATGAACATGATCACAGCTTGCTGTAGTGTTATTTAACATTTTGCCCCTCCCTACCCAACATCGAACGATAGCAAGATCGTGTAAAAATTCGGTGCACCGGGGTGTTCCTTTTATTTCATTTGACACCTATTAATTTGTTTACTGCACGGAGAACAAAAAAATATGAATTACCACGTATACTGTAGACCCCCACTTTACATTCCCACTTTCTATATGTGTCGGGATACGTGTGTAAGTGTTCGGCTCTCAGCATCGACGTGTTGTAATTTTTGTTATTAGTATAAATATTGTCTTAATAAAGTTAATCAATATGTAAGTACCCTACTATCATTCAGCTATCATGGCCAAAATTGATATATTACAAAACAATATGTAGATAGTTTTATTTACAGTCTGAAAGCGTCATTAGTATTTAGTGATTTTGTAAAAGAATTATTTGCACAAAAAACAAAATCAGGTTTTCACACGTGACTTCTTTGACTTTAGGATTAAGTTGATCAGACCGTCTTTTATCGGAGAATGCTATAACTTGAGATAAAAATCATATTTAACAAATGTTATTTAGATAATAACACAATGAATCCTGGGCCCTTCAAAGACTTTTAAAAGCACTCCTCCGTTGGAATATAATTGTAAAAATCAGCTTGGTCTCTAAAACCCATTCAAGTTTTGCAAACCATTTTAATTGGATAATATTATATACGACACTAGCATAGTATCACACTCACAGTTATATATATGTTTGCGATCTTGGTTAATGAAGCATTATATGAGGCAGAAAGTTGTAAACATGCCAATATATTATACACAACAAAAATGTTCCATAGAATATAACCAGTAGTATTAATTGAGTTTCTAAAT